TATATATATATAATATGTATTTATTTATTATATATATAGGAGAAATAATTATTACTATTATATTTATAAATAATTTATATTAACATATTTATAAATAATTACAAGTTAATATTGTTATATATGTAGAAACATTACTTTAAATTGAAAGATATCTCGTTCTAAATCAACATTTGGTAAATTCGGCATCATGTGAGCTATTACTTTGAATCCAGAATTTTTTGCTAATTGAAAACTCTCACATACTGCACGTACTGTATGTCCCCTGTTAGTATCACGCGCAATGTCTTCATATATAGATTGTACACCAATTTCTAAACGTGTACATCTGTCAAATTTTAAGTTTAGTTAAGTTTAGTAAATGATTTACAAATTTGAAATACTATATTAAAAGCACATACCCGTAACGTAACATATCTGAGAGATGTTTTTTGAGACAATAATCAGGCCGAGTTTCAATAGTGATGCCAATACATTTTGTTTTACTGTGTTCTGAATATTTTACTGCTTCATCAACATTAGCGCTTGTATGACCAGAAAGAGCATCATGTAAATTTTTAATAAAATTATCTCTATAATCATCTGGCAAAGACATAAAAGTACCGCCCATAACGATAAATTCAACCTTGTCGACATCATGACCTAATTGCTTTAACTAAAAATATAATATATATTTATACATGATCACTATACTCTTATAGACAATAAAAAAAATGATTAAAAATTTATCTAAGATACAACCACCTAACTTCACCTGCTCAATACGATGCGAAGTTTGTAAGAAAGGATCATATCTCGCACGTATAGCTCTCATCGATGTAGGTTCGTATCCTGTATATGATTGTGTTGAATATTCAAAATCAGAATCTGGACCTCCGGGACAATAAACACAAATATTTCCCGTCATGTTAATATGTGGACATCTGTGTGGTTTGCACATTACTGCTACAACAGCAATCTACAGCATATATTAGTTTTTTGATTCAATTGTAAAGATTGTTAAAATATGATGATATAAGATAAACTAACCCCACTAGCAGTCCGAATAGGTTTAGCTTTCAATTTCGGTATGAGTATATTCCTAACATCATTAGGTACAGCTGCAATAATATCAACTAATCTTGGAGGAGAATCCAAGCCATATTTTGCAACAATTCGCATCTTTAATTTGTTTAAATCAACATCTTGATTTTCTTTGTGTGCTTTTAATAGTTCCTGTATAATTTCAACAATTGTCAAATTTATACGTTCCTGCTTACTTTGGTCAAAATCTGAAAAGAGATGAATGTATTACAATGTTATTTCAATATAAAATAATTACTAAATATTGATGGGTTTAAATTGGCAAAATAATTTGACTCTTTACTCAGCAAATTCTGCATACTTAACCATCAACAGTTCGTATGTGTTGTTAAATATACAAATTATTAAAAAATAATATGTTTTCATTAATGTATTTTCTATCTTTTAACAAATGTTTTTAAAAATATTTCCATTATGTAAATAAAAATTATAAAAATATAATTATATAATTAATATAATTTACATAAATTAATCAACAGAGAACACATGTCAATATTTCTTTAAAAACTTTTAAATCCTTTTAAATAATCAATAATAAACTGAATAGCTAGCTTGAATCAGTAAAAAAGTTAGCAATGATAAAACATACAGTGCAATTTGTTAGCTGTTCTAATGAATCAAGTAGTAATTATTAATATTTACTTTATTTGCTTGACAGACACACTAACCGCTTTGTTATTCATTTGAATAAGTTCAAATATAATTCTGAATATACATATCATATCGCAATAATAATACACTGTATGGCAGACTTACGAATTCGTGGTTTCCCCATGACTCTAAATTGTTCGTAATTTTATTTAAAATATATTTTTTAAACGATTAATATATATTTGCTCCTTTTTATATTTCAGCACGATCACATATGATACCATTACTTGATCATAACATAACCTAGATGAATTGCAGAGCTACCAGATCACAGAACATGGGATCTTACAGATCCCTCCCCCCCCCCCCCATTTGATGCGAAATATTACTACCACGTAATAGTATGTGTATAATTAAAGCAAATTTCACATGTATGTGTATATATATATATATATATACACACACACATAACAAATATTTATATACTATTACTTTTGGTTTCGCATCAAGTGTGGAGTATGTTAGTAGGTTTCATG